GGGGATATAAATGCAGGACCATTTTGTATCTATATATACAAAATTGTTAGGCTAGATATATAGCTACTTTCTCTAGTTCAATAAGAAGACAGATTTGTACTAATAGTGTTTGACGGATATCATGTCTGCATCTTGTACTATGAATAACTACTATGAAGACAACAATATGTAATGCATTAATTAGTGTAACTGTCCTACTAACATGTTTTGAAACTGTCTCATTGCTATTTGTTTCTCAATAAAATTAATTAAAAAAAGAGGTTACACTATAGACAGACAATAAGGATTTTTTTGAAAAGTACTATATCAGGTAGCACTAAGGAAGAAAAGTAGGGAAAGGGAATAAACAATATTGAAGGTGGGGTGCTAAATTTTAGATAAACTTTTAAAAATTTTTTCTCATTTTATTTTTATATTAATTTTAAAAAGAAAGAAATAGCAATTAGACAGTTTCAAAACAGGTGAGTGGGAAAGTTACAATAATACATTGCATATTGTATTTGTAGTAGTTATTCAGAGTACAAGATGCAGACATGATATCTTGTCTAAACACTATTAGTACAAATCTTTTTCTCATTGAACTAATGGAAAGTAGCTGTATATCTATCCTATTTTGTATATACAGATATATATTTTTTTCCACTACAAAAAAATATTTATATATATCCCCTTTTTATTTAGTTTTGTCAGAGATGGGTATTCCACTGCCATTCAAATATTGTAGGTGCTTGAATTCAGCAAAATAACCCAATATAGTCCAATAATAGTAGTGGGTTAGCAGCAGAAGTGGCAACGTCAGAAGTTGCTGCCTGAGCCTTTTACAGCTCAGCATATTAATATGGCTTTACTTTTTATACCTTGTGATTAAACTTTTCTGCTGGATGGTTAAGACCAAGTTAAAGCAAGACCCATATAACTAAAAATGTAACTTTTGTTAAAGTTGAGAAGGATTTTTTTTTTTGGGGTTTTTTAGTGGGCTCAGGCTGCCTTAAGGGCGGGTGTAGTGTGGCAGGCATGTGGAGCTGGGGATCGAACCGCGGTCCCACGAGCCTGACTGGGTTTGCCCAAGCAAGGGCTTAAACAACTGTGCTAACTCGCAAACCTTAGATATTTTATAAACTTTTAACACCACCATCAGGATACTTGTATTTTTGATTTTTACTCTAAGAAATTCTGATCCCTAAACAGTGGAAATGTAGATCAACAAGCTTCTATTTACGCTCCTAAGATAATTAATTTGCATGTATTACCACCTACAAGTCTAAAGGTATAGTTTACTTCAAAATACTGAGTTAGCCTGATGACACAGTGTTGCAACCACGTGAAAATTTGGTAATTTCCACAGGAACTAGACATTCGACATCTGTTCGGTAAGAAGACATTACAAAATGATTTACTAAAATGACTGTGTGATAGTTCCTTTGATTTTGCGTAAGAATATTGTATTTAGGTAACGCAAATTGGTAAATGTGACTACTACATTGACCAATTTTAATGTTTTTAAAAGTTATTATTGCATTCTGTTGTTATATGTAAAAAAATGAAGAGCCTCTCCAAAAGAATCTCAGTGCTATCCCCTAACCTTTGTACAAACACATTCAAACCAGCAGCGTTTGCTGACCCACCCATAAATATGTGAATCTCATCAAAGTGTACACATACAATAACTGCTTTTGATTATCACTATCAGAAACTTAAATAATGTTAGTAAATAAACCTATGATAGGTGATAATTTAGACCTTCCCAGCCAATCTTTTAGCAATTTTTAAACTCAAAATCATAATATATTTAGATACTGACCTCATAATAACATCAAGGTAAAACACTGGTGAGAAAGAAGCTGAGTGTAAGGTAAAAGTAATAAAAGATAAATGATAGGAATGCCCTATTTTATTTATTTATTCATTTATTTATGTATTTGGTACAGGGCTTAAAGAAATTGGACTCATAGTGATCCTCCTGTTCTCAGCCTCTCAAGCACTGGGATTACAGGCGCGCACCACCATACCCACTCTCAATCACCGTCCAGGGATCAAACCCCAGCTGTTGCGTTCTGCCTAAGCAGGTGCTTTAGTCTGATGAGCTATCTGGCCAGCCCAAAATACAGACTAATTTTTTATTTATTTATTTTTATGGGGTCTTACTATGGCATGTGACATGACATATCGAACTCAGGTCCTTGTGCTTGCCAGGCTGGCACTAGACTGTCAGGCTATTTTCCCAGCCCTGAGTGCCCTATTGTAGACCCTTCAAGCTTACTGTGCATACTAATAGCAAGTTGCATTCGCATCACTAATAGACCCACCAAAAGTATCATGCTTTGATGGGCAGTGCTGGCTTATTATAAATCTCTCAAGGTTACAAGGTTCTAAAATTGTCTTAAACATCCAACAGTAGCTTTCTGAATTTTGCTGACAAGCATCCTTTCTAACACAAAAAATTAATGATGAAAGAAAGTTTAGGAAGAGGAAAACTCTATTACTAGTAAAAAGGCCATTTACAGAAACAAAAAAGAGGGTATTATGATTTTTGTCTAGATGCCCCCCCAAGCCTCATGCAGTCATGGGGCAGTCTTCTAGAGTTCTTGATTGATTCATGGTCCAGAGCTGGGATTATAGGTGTGAGTGCTACACCTACCCTAGGGCAGGTAGCCTGCACATAATTTAAGGAGGGAATTGTACTCTCTCTTCCCCTGTGGCTTCTCAGCATGAACAGCTGACCCTCTGCTACCCCACTCTGTCTTGGAGCCAGCTGAGTATGGACTGAAGCCTACACAAACTGCAAGCTAAATAAACCTTTCCTTCCTTAAATTTGGACATTAGGAATTTTGTCTCAGCAATGCGAAGAAAAGTAACCCAAGACAGAGAGCAAAGTGTATAACTATACCAAAAGTTACAGGATGTATCATCAGGACCCAACATATCTTAAATAGGATATCTAAATAGATTTCAGGATAGTAGAAATGGCATTGTAAAAAACACTAACAAATCTTGTTTTATTTACTTTGCAATGCTGGACATTGAAGCCAAAGCTTCCTGCATGCCATGCAAGTGCTCTACCACTGAGCTCCAGTCCCAGCTGAATAACATATTTATTAAGATACCTAACTGCTAGACTGCCTTAAATTTATATGGAAATAAGGGACACTTTTTAAAATGTTGAGTTACAGGTAAAATGAGGAGAGGCATCTAGTCATTAAGACACCCCAATAGACCAAAAATTCTGTTTTGCCCGTCCTAGAACTACTTCTACCCAAAACAGATCTGAGAGAAGAAATCTAGAGAGATAAGTGAAGATTTCATTGTGGGTTTTGAGCCCAGTGGCTTTTAATCCTAAAGACCTGAAATTCAATTCTACCTCATATTCAGAGAGCCTCAGCATGGTCCAATCCCCAAGACTTTCTGCTGTGAAATTTTTCAGCCCAGAGAGGCATTTTCCTGGTCCATCAGCCAAGAGAAAATGCCTTTTTAACATTTTTCAGGGCACAAAGTAGCCCTGAGGACCACAGATTAATGTCCAAGACACCTTCTGTTGTCACTGTTAACTGTAATTATCACATGTCATTTGATTTCAGTTGTCTTTTTTTTCGTATTTGCTATTTCTCTAGCCTGTGCTTGAGAACTGTACAAGTTTTATTTGGCTCTAAGAGGCAACAGTAAGAGCTGGAGTCCGCTAACCCCAACTAACAACAGCAAGGTGTGCTAAATGTTTTAAACATTTTGCTAAACGTTTTAAAAATACGACTTTAACCCTCATAACACCTCTGTGACATAATAAGTATTATCTCTATTTTACAAATGTAGGAACAGGTCCTCAAAGGTTAAGTACTGCCCACAGTCAGACAGCTAACCTTAAAGCATAGATCTGAAACCCAGATATCTGCCTTATCCCAAAAAATACTGACCTTCTACGTTAAGTCATAAAGTTTGTGCTCTACAATCTTAATGATCTAAGCTAACCCTAATAATACGTCTTTATCATACTCACTAGTATGATTTGGTATGTTTGTCAACCTGAATTTCATGGAGCATAAGACTGAACAATATCATTTTATGGGGAATATGATCTTTTTTTTTTTTTCTTTGCTGGAGCTTGAACCTAGAACTTACAGGCAGAACCTAGCGCACAGTATGTGAACACTTTTACCACTAAGCCTACGGCTCCAAGCTGTTTGTGAGCATTCAGTAGCACAGCAGAGGGTGACTGTAATCAGTAATAGCCATATTTAACCTCGCTCTTTTCTCCAACTGATTTTACATTATAGAGGCAGCCACGAAAATACACTACGGAGAAAGAAAAGTTGTGGCCGACCATTAAGAGCCTCAGGTCGCAACGCTAATGGTCAGTCCGCTTGGTCAAGCTTCAGGCACTGCAAAATAAATGCAACTGCACTTCCTCCAGGCCTCTTCTTGTCGTGTCCAAAGCACTAGACAGAATTTCTAAACTGAAATTTAACAGCAGCTGCTAGCATGCTCCTCACCGCGCCCTAGCTTTACTCTGCAGTCACGTTCACCTGTAGCTTCCACCCAGGCATCAAGCAGCACAGCCTGTTCCCCCGGGCTTTCGGATCGTCCAGAGTGTGGCGCGGTGACCCCGTCCTTAGCGCCCAGGCGCCCAGCGGAGATGCTCCCCGGGGCCACAGCACTGCCCCCGCCCTGCCCCTGCCGGGAGGAGACCGGGGTGTCCCGG